AGGTGGAAAACGACTAATCCGAACGACATGATATAATCTCGTCGCTTGCCATATAAAAAAAAATGACCGGCTGGGCCGAGCCAAACGCAGCTGTACTGATACCAATCACAGCTACGCAGGACTAACTATACACTTCCCTTAATAAGGCATTGTTCACACTCTGCGGTCCAGCGTTTCTCTGAAACGCGGCGGTTCGGCGAAAAGCTTTCGATACATATCGACTGGCGGTTGGGCGAAGAGCCTGGCGGTTGGGCGAAAGGGTTTTGGTACGTATCGACGGGCGTTTCGCCAAACCGCGACGTTTTTCGCCTTCGACAAAACGCTAGCTCCATCGCGGTGGCGTTTTTCGCCAGCGAAATCGATACACATCTACTGCTTTTCGCCCAACCGCGGCGGTTGGACGGTTGGGCGATTCTCCGATCGATGACTATTTATTGCTTTTCTCCCAACCGCCGTTTCGTCAGGGCCTGGAGACTGTGAACAATGCCTAACACGGACTCCCACTATGCAGGGTAGCCAGGTTTGAAAGCGGCCTATCGGAGGTTCACGCTTGCAAAATGCGAAAACATACGAAGACCCTTCACGCAAGGAGGATACCAAACATTTCATGCTAGCTGAATACTAAAGGTGAAGAATCTCCTCTGAAAGAGAAGTCATGAAGAAAAGAGAATGTTATATGGTCCACTTTACAAGGGGCAAGTACACTTAAAAAGGCTAATCATTCGAAGGAGCTATGAGCGATGAGCTTTACAACGTGTGGCGGAGCTTTCGCATCTGGCTTGCCTCTGTGCATCACGGTACGACATCGTGATGTGTAAAATGGCGGTATCGATACCACTCACCTCCCGCAGAAAAAACTCCTTCTCCGGTAGCCCTATTCCCCAACCTACCCATCAAACTTCTGAATTTCTCCAGCTTCCTACAAGTATCCCCAGTTTTACAAAACTTTTCCAGCAACTTCCTATCCTATTCTATTTCGCCAAAAAATGCCACAGAGTGAGGGATGGGTTCATCAGCAAACAACTGATCTTAACAGAAAAAAAAAGAAGGAAACGAACGAAGAAATGCAGAAATAGCAGTTTTTATCAATTTTGCGGAAACGCCACCTAAAGGGGATACAGACGCACATGAAACGGGAAAAATCAGGATAAAGTCAACAACCGACCAAAGACAAAGGAATTTCCGGGCGACCGCGTAACGGAATGCGCATTCGCCCCGAAAGCAATAGGTGCAAGTTCGCGCTCCATGAAAGATTAAGACTTTGACACTTTACTCAGCATTTTTGTGATAAAAGCAAAAAAATTGTATTGGCTAGGAAAACTTCTATCACAGCCAAATTGATCTCCCCCCCCCCTCGACCAAATACGACCTTCAGCCAAGACCAGGGACTCTCCCGTTGCTGCCGTACCTTACCGTACGGCACATTAGGCAAGACGGATCGATGGAATGCTGATTCACCACACATAAGACTCCAATGCTGTGTCACATGACATCTACTTTTATATCAGTCAATACGTACTTATCCCTCTGGAAACCCGTATACATGAATTCGCAGACGCTAGTCACGGAGACAGCTTTAGGAGTGTCCCTGCATCAAAACGTCGTTGCTTTCTAATTGCAGCACACATTGACCCGGTAATTTTCAAGGCCAAATGCAAGATTGCCCGGAAAATAACATTCTCAGAATAAGCCTCAGTAAAAGGAGACTAACGGTTCTGAACGAAGCGAGACTGCAGGAGAAGAGAACAACCAAGCAGTGCACGAAGCAAACGACAAATAACTGCTACCCAGACGAACGCCCGGACGCCCCGTGCTGCGACATCGATCGATGACGGGTGTAGTTGGGATGGGAGGGACGACGCGTGGGGTGAGTCATCGAGCGCACAGCTGTGTAATGCTGAGGCATTGTCGGATCGGCTATCGGCAAATATTGAAACCCGAAACTACATATTCATCTGACATTCCTGGCATTATTCAATTGTGACAACGATGGGCATCAATTCTGGTGCAGTGTATTCTGAACACAAGACTTTTTTAGACACAAAGCAAGTGACACGATAAATCCCTGGACTGGTAGTAATATGCCAAGCGGTAGATTTCCTCGCCCCTGAGCAGTGGGATAAGTACGTTGGCACTTTAGTTCCTTTTATGGTGTGAATCTTCCCTTCTTCTCTGCACCCTCTTGCCTGCGTGGCGTTGTGTAGGTTTATGTAGCTTTATTGACGAGACGGGGTGGCCTCGTTGGAGTTGCAATATAATACAGTATAGACGAGACGGGGTGGCCTCGTGTTAGGTGATGGTTTCCAAGACGGGGTGGTCTCGGTGGAGGTAGTGGTAGAATGCTGACTTAATCTAGGCGTGCCTCTCAATACAGGAGAGGTCACGCATCGAGTATCTAACTATTTACCTATGGGTCATAATCACATGTCTCAATGTTCCCTATGGGTTATACATATCAATCAGGCAGTCATAAAAGGGTGCACCGGCAGGTTCTGGTGGCAATCCAGAACAGGCGTTGCGCGAGTACTATGGCATTATAAATTCCAGCTTTTCACGCATGTATACTTGTCTCACTCACGCCGAGTCCCCACCTTTGAAAAGTCCCGACCCCTCACTCTCTTCATATTAACTGCACCTTTCAGTGCTCTGGCAGACGCACTGCCTGGCAGGGTTTCGCGACAGGACCAACGGAAGTTGTTACACGTGGGCCAAGTGCAAATATGACATTGCATGCGAAGTATTTTTTTGCTAGTTAGCTAGATCGACAGATGCACAGGGAAAGTAGTAAGTGGCCTGGACGTAGACGCAAGGAAATTCAAGGAAATCAACGCGGCGCAGTGCTGCACGTACAATGGATTGGGTCCTGGTGCGAATACCAGGTATGTCACCTCGCTTCGCATAACCGCACTTGCGCGACTGGGAAAACGAATCGAACAAAACAGTTGTAGTACGACACACATCAGAGTATATCCTTTCTCGAAAAAAGCCTCTATTGTTCTTCGTTGCCCACAGTAGCTTAAGGGAAACTCAGATTCGTTCAAAATAAGATCCGTGCCCCCCCCCCCCTCCCCCTTACGAGACGATTGGGTCGCATTCACATATGACGACTCTGAAGACGCATCGCGGAATGGGTTATGCAAGACCTGCAGAAAAGCCGCCAAAATGTGGGACTTAAACCTGACAGAGATGGATCCAACAGCCCGTCCTTGGAAGAATGTCAACACTGCTCGGCATTTAGGCAGATTCTGCATTTCTGCAATTCCACAGTTTCGTCATTTTTTTCCAAAGTAGCATCGGGTGAATGCGCTCTTACAGTGCTTGCAGTTGTCCCGAAAACGTTACCCAACCTTCCACAAAGTCGAAGCAAATCGAAGAGACAAAGAAACAAAGCATACGGAAGTACCGACTGACAAGGTTCAGAGAAAATGAGAAAATCCTTCATTTCAGATTTCAAAGTGCAGAGTATCAACAATTTAAACATTCACAAAAACGATTTCACCCGGATGTCTAGTGTTTAAACAGCAGGAGATCATGAAAAAAGTGCCGAACTACGGCCGTCGGCCATATCTTTGACTTCTTCTACTTTCGCCTCCAGTTCTCCTGAATACGTCCATTACAGAAATGAGGACTTCAAAACATCTCCATTAAGGCAGCAGCACCTGTTTTACGGTCAATGTACAGCAGTGTCTCCATCTGATTCTTTAGAATTTGTGCAACTTGGTCTTCCGTAGCTTTACTTGCATTTGACATTGAGGATTTCGACTTGTGAAGAGCGGATACCTATAACAGTATAGAGGGGTTCTTGCAATTTGGAACAGCAACTTTTCCTCATAAAGTTCACTACACAGGGCTACTCAGAGCTTTGAGATGAAAACAACATTCGTTCAAGGTACCAACGCCATTTGTGTCAACGCGACATGCACGTACTTTAGTTAAGCTCAAATCTAACCCAGAAGCTGAGCTAAACGACTCCGAGTACAAGTAGAAATGACTGTGATATTATGATCAAGGCAATGTATAAGCCCTTCAAGTAAGTTACGACGGATTTGGGCACGACCTCAGTTGAGGAGAGGGGGAGAGCCGCCCAACCTAAGAGTCGGTATCGATAGGCGCAGGTCTCCAATGTTTTGTGAGAGTACAGAAGAACGGATGGTACTAGACTAAGTGAAGGCAGCGCCTACCCTCCCTTTAGTCTATACTCTCTCAAAACAGAAGCGACCGACGCCAATCGATACCCGCCTATGGCTACATCCCCATTTGTTGCATTGAAGCGCTGCTGCAGTTGTAGCTTGCCTATGCACGTTACAGCACGTCATCGAGAACTATGAACGCTGTCTGAGAAAAAGCACTGGCACATAGTTCTTGGGAACGGATATTGATTATGAGCACGCAAAATCAATACTCATCTCACGTCATACATCATATATGGAATAGTTCGTTGCGGACGGTTGGGCGTGCTGGACGGGATGAGTTTGAGTGCCAAACACGTTCTCCACCAGTTGTTAAAGCGAGCGTGTGCATAGACTATATCATATCGTTCGCAGTAACCGTTTTCTACCACTGGTTGTCGCATGCGCGCTTCAGCAAGAAGGCAGAGAACTTCGACGGCGTGAACACTCATACTGCCTGACACGCCCAACCATCCGCAGCGAACTAGAGTATACCTCTTTTAGCCAAACTGGTTGTTGTAAGATAGAAGCCGCTGTTCCGCTACTATATTAACGTTGACTAATCACAAAACGATTAAAGTAAAGTTTAGTTTCTTCAACGAGTAGGAATACCTGGTCAATAATTTCCTGAAGATCACAATCTGCCTCTTTGATTTGTGAATCAACACTGATCAGCATTTGCATACTGAAAACAAAGTATGTTTCCAACGTAATTAACTGAGTTGGAGTCATAATGAACACATACAGCTGCTGCCTCTTGGTGTCACTTGGAGTGGCCGAGAAGGCGTCTACAGGGAGATCGTGATTCTGATCTGTCCAGTCAGGGAGACCTAGCGCCTTCTCTAATTCGGTGACAGCGGAGTCTAGCGCTACAAAAAGCACATTTTCATTCCTACACTGGGATATTTAATGTAACTCAGACCATCTACCTTTTTGTTCTTCAGTGATACATCCCATATTATAGATCATTTTGCTTTGCTTTTCTTCTAATGAAACCAATTTTGCATCAACATCAGAGATCTGCAACGTAATATGGTACTCTTAAGCATTTGACCGATGATTATCAAATATCATCACACTTTGCGACGGCGTTTCACCTGTTTTCAACGTCAGCGCTGTGAGCTTCTATCGGTATTTCCAGAGGTAATCGATACCTACCCTTCCTCAGACGCTCAAAACGCTGACGAACGCTCAAAGCGCCGCCGCAAAGTGTGAACGCACTCCAATATTGTGCTGTCAGTAACTCCAATATTGTGCTCTCATCGGAACCTCAATGGTGTACACCGTAGAGAAGCTCGATATTTACTGCAAAACTTTAAAGGGAAAAAAAAGTCTGCCGGACTTTATCCCCGAATGTTTTGGTGCCTCACAAGTTCCTCCTGAACGATTGGAAATACACGAATTTAGTGCAAGTTATAACATCGCCCACCTGGGAAAGGTATTAGGTACCTAACAATTCAGAAGAAAGTTTTTAGAAGGAACTGTGGCTACATTTTTTGGAGTCTTTGAAGCTTTTAAAAGAAATTTCTGGGCCACTTCATGCTGTACACTAATTAGATCCTCACCCTTTGCATATTCTCCCATAGCTGCCGGTCGTATGCATTCAGCTCCAACAAGCAATTCAAGAAAGCCCGTTCATCGGTGGCAAGATCCAATGTCATCTTCTGAGTGATCTGTAATCGTTAAGTGTTGTAGGCTCCTGGTTTTCCACTCACATGAGGACCTCACGGAGTGATCTTCAGTCTTTAGAAAGCTATCCCAACCTTGGAAATAGGGAAAGAATGGGAAGGGAGGGGGGGCATTCAAAGAGCACCTCACGGGATTGCTACAAATTCGTGAAAAAGAGACCCGTTAACCATTTTTTTTTCATGGGAATGAGGTTCCGCATTTCAGACTATTCAACTTAAGCCTGAGAGACTGACGAACCACAATGGTCCGTCTGGATAAGAGGCGAAACCAATCACCTTATTATTCTCAGTCTTAATGTTGAAGACTCCATTATGTTTTTCTTTATTGGACAAACGGAGTCCATGGAATGTCCCAGCCTCTTGTCTCTCCTAGGCTTTTGATAGTCTCCAGCCACTTTCCTGCTCCAGTTCTATACGCAGCCACAGACAGATGGAGATGGTGAAATCGTTATGGTCGTCTGCCCCTCCCCTCCTCCCGCCCCCTTTACGGTAAGCATGGACTGCGCCTTCAAGTCTGATCCTTTATAGAAAGCTGTAACAACCGGTAAACAGGACACAAACCGGAGCAAGAAAAGGGGTGTATTTGGAGGGGATGTTCTCAGAGCAGCCTGAGCCGAGGAAAAGAAGGGATTGCTGCTTCGAAGAGTAGAAGCACAGACGACTGAAGCCGCTAGGATTTCTTACACTCGAAGCACTACGACAAAACCGTAAAAAAACAACTCTGCAAGATGGCAACGTCACCATATCAATGATCAGAGTGCAGTCATTCGTATGCAATGGCATAAATCCCAAATAGTCACCAAAGCCTTTACCACCACTTCTTCGAAATATTAGATTGTCCGGAAAGTTC